TCTTGAGGGTATGGAACCAGCCCTGAAACCCAAGTAGGGATGAAGCCTACTTGGTCATGGTGAATGTTTTTGAGATGTGTTGTTGGATCACATTTGCTAGAATGTTGTTGAGAATTTTTGCATCTATGTTCATCAGGAATATTGGCCTGTCTTTCTTTGTGGGATTTTTACCCAGTTCAGGTGTCTGTGTGATGTTAGCTTCATAAAATAATTTGGGGACAGTTTCATCTTTCTTGATTGGAATACTTTCAGTAGGATTTATATGAACTCCTACTTGCATGTTTTGTAGAATGCTGCTGGAAAACCATTAGGTCCAGGACTTTTTTTTTTTTGTTGGTAGTTCTCTTATGAAGAAGTCAGCTTTCTGGGTTGTTATTGGTCTATTTAGGGTCTGAATTCCTTCTTGTTTCAACCTTGAGAAATTGTGTGACATCAGAAAGTCCTTCATTTCATTTAGGTTTTCTAGTTTGTTTCCATACAGGTGTGTGTAGTAAGCTCTGACATTCTTTTGTATTTCTTCAGAGTTGGTTGTGACTTGATCTTTTGCATTTCTAATTGTTTTTCTTTGGGCTTTTTCTCTCTTTTTCTTGGTCAATTCGGTTAGGAATCTGTCAATCTTGTTTATTCTTTCAAAGAAACAGATTTTTATTCTATAATATTTTTGTCTTCTATGTTCTGTATTTGGGCTTTTCCTTTGATAATCTGGATTCTTCTGCAGAAGTTTGGGTTTTGGTAGTCTTGTCTTTCCAGCTCCTGTAAGTGATTTGTTAGGCTGTTACTTTGTGATCTTTCCATTTTTTGGATGTGTGTTCACAGAGATATAAATTCCCCTCTAGGTACTGATTTCATGGTATCCCACAGGTTTTGGTAAGATGTGTCTTTATTTTCATCTGTTTCCAAGAATCCTTTGATTTCTTTGTTGACTTAGGAGTTGTTCAACAACATGTGGTTTAGTGTCTATGTCTTCGTGGGGTTTGGGGTACTTTTGTTGGTGTGTTGATATTTATTTTTATTGCGCTATGGTCTGAGAAGATGCATGACTGTATTTTGATCTTATGAAATTTGTTTATGCTTGATATATGGCCAAGTATGTGGTTAATCTTGGAGTACATTCCATGTGGTGATGAGCAGAATGTATATTCTACAGTTGTTGGGTGGAGTGTTCTGTAAGTATCTATTAAGTTAATTTGGTCAAGAGTTAAGTTGAGATTCTGGATCTCCTTGTTGAGTTTTTGCCTTGATGATCTAACTAGGGTTATTAGTGGGGTATTTAATTCCCCAGCTATGATAGTGTTAGAGTCAGTCTCTTCTTTGGTTTACTTAGTAGTTGCTTTATAAAAGCTGTCACTCCTGTGTTGGGTGCATGGGCATGGTGCTCAGCAGCCTAGGCATCCCTTCCACCTGTGCACAGAAGAGCTCATCTTGTGGCCCTCAAGCCACGTGCTCTCTCTTTCCCTCTCTTTCTCTGTCTCTTTATCTATTTGTCTCTCCTACTCTGTCCCCGTCTCTTACCGGTGGGTCCTCAATCATGTCCCCACACACAGCACCAGGCCTAACTGAATCCATCTGTGGTGACATGATGTGTACTCCTTTCTGTGGGTCCAAGACCCTTTCACCCTTGCAGTCATCCTCCCAGCCCCAAAGCAGCCTTAGTATGCCTTCTTGAAACATTTCAAGTAAGAGTGGGTGCTCCCAACTCAGGAGGCCCTCCTGGAAATCAGGCAAACAAGAGACTGAGAAACCTCAGCAAGGAATTTGCTTCTGACTTCATCAAGCCCAGAAGTCAATAGGACAACCTGTATCATCAGGGCCCCCCACTTCATGGAGCCAAAGCCATTGAAACAGCATGGTCCCTGCCAGATTCAGGAAGTGCCACAGTCATAGCCATTGGCTCAGAAAAATTTGCCCACTAGAGTACATGAGGGTGCAGATTTTGAAGCTGAGTGGTCCAACACCTTGTCCTGATTCCTCATGGATGGTGAGTGCTTGGGTGAACCCAGTGGTGCCCAAGCTTCTGTGGCCCCTTCATGTGACAATTTGTCCAAGCACTTAGATTAAGCTGTTTCTTGCCCTGAGGTGTATTGAAGGCCTCCCATGAACATCTTCAGCTGCAGCTGAGGAAGATGTCCCTACGGGGTCAAATTCCCAAGAAGCCTCCATTCTTGAGAGCACAATGATGAATGTGTGGTCAGGATTCAGCTTAACTCCATGACCAAACACTTCTACACTAATAGTGACCCTTGGAGACGTGCTTCGTGGGTCATGGCTCACAATCCCGCATATTCACTCACCTATGATTGTGTATGCCATAGGAAATATGGGAAGAGCATGCCACTGAAATACATGAGAGGATGGTCCCTAAGGAGGGAAGCCATCAAAGTGCCTTGCTTCGCAGGAAAAGGGCCCAAACCATATAAGATTGGAGTGTTTTGTGGAGGAGCACATATGCAAGGTTGGGTACCTCAAGATGCTCTTAGGGGATTCAAGGTCTCTAGTCCAAAGACAATAGGCCTGCTGAGGCCATCAGCATCCCAACTTCCTCTTCCACAATCTGTTACCTAGCCTGGGCTTCAGCATAACCTCACTGAGCATGATTTTTATGTCATCACTTCTCTTCAAGACAATATAAAGTTCTCGTCATAAACCCAATCCAAGAAACTCTTCCACACACATTCATCCAATGGATGCCAATATGCTCATTATAGGTCAACACAGGAGACCAGAATTTGGGAAAGTATTTGACTTTTAGTGGATTCCAGACTGGGCACCTGGCTGACAGCCTTTGCCCCCAAAGCAGAGCTTCAGTGCAAATCTTACTTCAGTGCCAGAATCTGGGTAGAGAGGAGGCAGACAGTTGTGTCAAAATAAAATATGACATCTTTTTTACTCTGTCTCCACAGGAGTTCTGCCTCACACAAGCTTTTCCTTCAAACACCAATGGCATGTGATCCATAGTCATGCGGGTTTGTCTTGGAAGCAGGGGACTGATCCTTCCCTGGGTCCAGAAGCCACAGGGTAGACACGTGACTGGGTGATACAGTTTAGATGTGTGTCCCTCTAATTTCAGGTTGGGATCACAGTGTTGGAGGTGGGTACCTTGGCCAGTGTTTGGGCTTTTAGACAGATTCCTCCTGCTGGCAGTAATGAGTAAGTTCTCACTTCTTGAGTACACACAACAGTTGGTGGTTTTAAAATAGCATCACACTGCCTCCCCTGGCTTTTGTACCTGCTCTCATCATGGAACAGGTCGACTCTTGGTGATTTGTACCATGATTCCAAGTTCTCTGTGGTCTTAGCAGAAGCCTATCAGAGGCCATGGCCATGCAGAACTGTGAGCCAAAGAGACCTTTACTCTGTATCAATGAGCCAGGCTCTCATGTTTTGTAAAACAAGGCAAAACCTACTTCTCCACTGGGTTTGGGCAAGGCAACTGGGCTGCATCTTACAGCAGGCCAGGAGCATCTCACAGCTCCTTCCTATCCTGCCTCATCCAGGGCTGCCCTTGGACCCCTAGGAACCATTGAAGACCATCATACTTACAACCAATGGTCATAGAAAGGAAGCCATGTGCTTCTGTAGACCCTAAAAATCTATAGCCCGATCTTTGGTGTGGTACTCAGTAGACTGAGATAGTACCTCCACCTGTGCTATCGGCCTGTGGTTTTTGAGCAATATGCTCTCACTCTCTCTCTCTCCACCTTTTTCTCTCCGCCTCTGTCTCTCTCTCTCTGTCTCCTTATCAATAGGTCTCTTTTTCTCTGTCTCTATCTTTCATCCATAGGAGTCCTTTAATGTTCCACATACATGCCACACAGCACCACATCAAAATTGACTTATCTGGGATGACATGATGTGTATACCCCTTTCTTTGGGACCAAAACACTTTTACTTTTGAGGTGACTCTCAGCCAAAGGCTGCCATGACATGTCTTCCTGGGACATTTGGAACATGTGTGGGTGCTTTCAAATCAGGACTCTCTCCTGGTAACCAGGAAAACCAAAGATCAAGAAAGCTTAGTGGGACGTTTGCTGCCAACATCACCTAGGCCCACAAGTCAATGGGAAAGCCCACACCATCAGGCTTCTTCCACAGCATGGAACCAAAGTTCCATGTAACAGCACAGCCCCCTGCCAGGCTCAGGATATGCCACTTGGATGACTCAACAAAAGTTTGCCCACTCAGGTACATAAGGGAGGTAGATCCTGAAGCTGAGCAGCTCAACACCTTAAACTTGATTGCCATGAATGGAGAGCATTTGGGTGACCTCAGTAGTGCCCCAAACTTCTGTGGCCCCCTCAGGCCTGGTAGCCCAAAAGACCTTGTCCATGCACTTAGACTAAGCTAAGTCTTGCCCTGGGGTAAACTGAAGACCACCTCCAAACATCTTCACCACTGCTGGTAGGAAAGAATACATTTCAACTAGGTCAGATTCCTGAGGAGCTTACATCTTTAAGAGAAAAACTACATATGTTTTGTTTGGATTCAGCTTTTGTCCATGACCAAGAACACATAGCCCTAATAGTGGCCCTCAGTGACCCGTGCATCAGGGATCATGGCTCATGATCCTAGCCATTCACTCACCTATGACTGTGTACCACGGGTCCAACCTGGGCAGAAGATTCCATTGAAAAACACAATGAAAGGATGAGCCCTAAGGAAAGAGCTCCTAAAGTGCCCTGCCACTGGAGATGAGGACAAAGACCATATGATAAGATTGGGGTATGTCATGGAGGAGTGTATACGCAGGACTGGGCTTTGCAAGCTGCTCTTGAGGGTATGAAAGTCTCCAGTCCAAAAGAAGATAGCCCTTCTGGGGCCACCAGCATCTTAACATCCTTTTCTACAACTGTCACATAGGTTGGGCCTCAGCATAATCCTATCGAGCATGACTTTTAAGTCATCACCTCTCTTCAGGACAATATAAAGTTCTCATCATTGACCCAACCCAGAGATATGCCATTCCCACATCCACTTAAAGGATGCCCCTATGCTCACCACAGCTCAACAGAGGAGACCAGGGTTCTGGAAAGTATTTGACTTCGGTGGATTAGGGACCAGGCACTGACTGGATCCCTTTGTCCCAGGGACAGCAGCTTTTTCCCAAGACCATCTCTGAGGCCAGGATCTGGGTGAAAAGGAGGAACAGAATGTGTGTCAACAAGAAATCTGACACTTCCACAGAGATGCTACCTCACACAAGAGTTTTGTCCACAAAATGACAGGATAAGATAGCTCGTCATGTGGGGCTTGTTCTTCAGCTGAAGACTGATGGTCCCCCAGGGCTAAAAGCCACAACAGAGACAGGGTACTGGGTGGTACAGTTTGGATGTATGTCCTTTCAAATCTCATGTTGAAAAGTGATCCTCAGTGTTAAAAATTGAATTTCGTGGCCAATGTTGGAAATGGAGGAATAATGCCTGCTGGTGGTAATGAGTGAATTCTCACATCTTGAGAATCCTTCTGCTGGTTTTAATGAAGGAGTTCTCACATCTTGAATTCTCAAGAGAAATGGTGGTTTCAAAAGAGCATGGCACATAATTTTCAGACATTTGTGCCCCTTCTTACCATGGGTCCAGCAGATACTCTTTGTTTTGTGCCACCATTTGATGCTCCCTGAGTTCTCAGAAGATACCCAGCAGAGGCCATGACCATTCACAACTTGAACCATAGAAACCTTTATTATGTTTGAATGAGGCTGATTCTCTTGTTTCTGTGGAGCAGACAAAAACCCATATCTGTCTGCATCGAGAAAAGGCACTATGGACTCATCTAACAGGAGGCCGAGAGCATTTCAAAGTTCTTTTTTATCCAGTCTTACCAAGGTCTTGAGAGTCAACCTACACGTATAGGTCAGGATTCAGCTTGCCTCCATGACCAAGAACTAATATTTCTTAAGATGACCATCAGTGACTTGTGAATCATGGGTCATGACAACCAATCCCAGCCATGAACTCACCTAGGACGGTGCATGCCATGGAGACAAACTAGGAAAAATTCCACTGAAAAACAGAAAGAGAGACTGGGTGCCAAGGGGCTGCTAAAGTTTCCTGCATTTTGGTAAGAGGGCCAATACATAAGGATAAAATTGGGCAATTTCGTGGAGGAGCGTATTCATGGGGTTGTGCACACAAGATGGCCTCTGAGGCTTGGAGTTCTCCAGCCCAAATCACATTAGCCCTGCTGGGGCCATCATCTTACCCACGTTGGATTCCACAATCTCCCAATAACCTGGGACACAGCATAATTCTATTGAGCATGCTTTTTAAGTCATCATCTCTCTTCTAGACAATATAAAGTTCTCATCATTGACCCAATGCAGGGATTTTCAATCCCCATATCAATATCAAGGATGCCCATATGCTCACCACAGGTCAAGAAGGACCAGAGTCCTGGAGAATATTTGATTTTCAGAAGATTCCAGACCAGGAACCTCACTGGAATGAAATCCTTTGTTCCTGGGACAGCAAATTATACCCAAGACCTTCTCTGGGACAGGATCTGGGGAAAAAGGAAGAAAAAAGGGTGTGTCAGCAAGAAAACTGGCACTTCCACAGACATGCTGCCTCACGCATGCCTTTCCTCCACAAAATGATGGGAGCAGGTATGCTCACGTGGGACCTATCCTTCAGGCTGAAACAGATGATCCCTGAGAACAAGAAGCCACAGTTCTTAGCACAGACAGGGTACTAGGTGATACAGATTGGATGGGTGTCCTCTCATATCTCAATTTAAAGTAGTCCCCAGTGTAAAAATTGGGTTTCTTGGCCAATGTTCAGAATGGGGGAATCTCACATGGTGCTTGTAATAAGTGAGTTCTCATTTCTTGAATTCTCAGGAGAGCTGCTGATTTCAAAGAGCATGGCATACTTTTTTCTGGCTTTTGTGCCCCTCTCAATGTGGGTCTGGTAGACTTTCTTTTCTTTGTGTCACTATTCCATGGTCCTTTAGATCTCAGAAGATGCCTATCTGAGACCATGGCCATACACAACTTGAGTCAAAGAAAACTTTAGTATGTTTCAACGAACCAGGAACTCCTGTTTCTGTAGAGATCAACAAAACTCACTTCTTCCTGCATTTGGACAAGACAATTGGGGCTCTTTTAACACTAGGCAGAGAGCATTCACCCTGCCTCACAAAGCTATTGAGAGAAAAGGTACACATATTTGGTCAGGGTTCAGTTTGACTCCATGACTAAGAACCCCCATCCCGTGGGGTGACCCTTAGTGACTTGTGAATCCTGGGCCATGACTCCCAATACCAGCCATGCACTAACCTATGATGGTGCATGCCATGGAGCCAACTTTAGCAAACGTTTCCACTGAAAACCACAAAGAGAGATTGAAAATTAAGGAAGGGGTTGCTACAGTGTCCTGCTTCTTGGGAAGGAGTCAAGACATAACGATCAAATTGGACAATTTCATGGAGTAGTGCATCCACAGGGTTGAACATCCTAAGATGGCCTCCAGGGTTTAGAGTTCTCCAGCCCAAAGACAATAGCTCTGCCAGGGCCGCCATCATCCCAATGTCGGTTTTCACAATTGTCATCTAGGCTGGACCTCAGCGTAATCCTATTGAGCATGATGTTTAAGCCATCATCTCTCTTCAGACAATATAAAGTTCTCATCACTGACCCAACCCAGGGATCTGTCTTTCCTACATCCATTTCAAGGATGCTCATATGCTCACCACAAATCAACACAGGGGACCAGAGTTCTGAAGAGAATTTGACTTTAAGCAGACTTGAGGCCAGGCACTTGAATGGAACCTTTGGGCCCAGGACAGCAGATTATTCCCAAGAACTTCTCTGAAGACAGGATCTGCATGAAAAGGAGGAAGACAGGGTATGCCAACAAGTGATTTGGCACTTTCATAGGGATGCTTCCTCACACAAGCGTTTCCTCCATGCAATCATGACAGGTGGGACTTGTCCTGTAGGCTGAAGACTGATGGTCTCTCAGGGCCAGGAGCCAAGTACAGACAGGGTACTGGGTATTACAGCCAGCTTGGATGTTGGATGAGATCCCCTCGATTCTCAGGCTGGAAAGTGGTCTCCAATGTCAAAAATTGGGTTTTGTGGCCAATGTTGGAAATCATGCCTACTGGATTTAATGAGTGATATCTCACATCTTGAGTTCTCCAGAGAGATAGTGGACTTGAAGCCAGGTTTTAAAATAGCATGGCTCATCTTTTTGTGATTTTTGTGCCCCCTCTCACCATGGGTCTGGAGGACTCTCTTTGCTTTGTGCAACCATTCCAAGCTCCCTGAGTCTTCAGAAGATGCCCAGCAGAGGCCGTGGCCATTCACAACTTGAGTCATATAAACCATTATGTTTCAATGAGCCTGATTCTCATGATTCTGTAGAGCAAGAATAACTACTCCTCTCTGCATTTGGACAAAGCACTTGGTACTCATCTAACAGCAGGCCATGAGCATCTCAGAGCTCTTTCTTATCCAGGCTCATCCAGGTATTGAGAGAAAAACTACACATATAGGCTGAGATTCAGCTTGCCTCCATGAACAAGAACTCCTATTAGTTAGATGATTCTCAGTGTCTTTTGAATCATGGGTCATGACAACCAATTCCAGCCATGCAGTCACCTTTGGTGATGTGTGCCATGGAATCAACCTGGAAACAACATTCCATTGAAAGACTGAAAGAGAGATTGGGTGCCAAGGGGCTGCTAAAGTTCCCTGCATCTTGGCAAGAGGGCCAAGACATAAGGATAAAATTGGGCAATTTCATGAAGGAATGCATCCATGGGGTTGTGCACCCCAAGATGGCCTCTGGGGCTTGGAGTTCTTCAACCCAAATCTCGTTAGCCCTGCCAGGGCCATCATCTTACTCACATTGGATTCCACAATCTCCAAATAACCTGGGCCACAGTATAATCCTATTGAGCATGATTTTCAAGTCATCATCTCTCCTCTAGACAATATAAAGTTCTCATCATTGACCCAATGCAGGGATTTGCAATTCCCATATCAATTTCAAGGATGCCCATATGCTCACCACAGGTCAAGAAGGACTGGAGCTCTGGAGAGTATTTGATTTTCAGAGGATTCCAGACTAGGAACCTTGCTGAAACGAAACCCTTTGTTCCTGGGACAGCAGCTTATACCCAGGACCTTCTCTGGGCCAGGATCTGGGAAAAAAGGAGGGAAAAAGGGTGTGTCAACAAGAAAACTGGCACTTCCACAGGCATGTTGCCGCACACATGCCTTTCCTCCAAAAAACGACGGCATGAGTTACCTGTTCACATAAGACCTGTTATTCAGTTTGAAGATGGATAGTCCCCCAGGGCCAGGAGCCACACAACATAGCACAGACGTGACACTGGGTGATATACTTTGGATGTGTGACCTCTCATATCTCATTTTTGAAGTCGGTCCCCAGTGTAAAAATTGGGTTCTTGGTCAATGTTGGGAAAGAAGGAATCCTGCATCCTTCTTGTAATGAGTGAGTTCTCACTTCATGAGTTTTCAAGAGAGATGCTGATTTCCAAAGAGAATGGCACATGTTTTTCTGACTTTTGTGTCCCCTCTCAATATGGCTTCTACACACACCTTTCTTTGTGCCAACATTTCATACTCCCTGAGACCTCAGAAGATGGCCAGCTGAAGCCATAGCCATGCACAGCTTGAGCAAAGAAAACTTTAGTATGTTTCAATGAGCCAGGCTCTCTTGTTTCTGTAGAGCTTGACAAAACCCATTTCTCCCTGCATTTGGACAGGACAATTTGGGCTCATCTAACAGCAGGCTTAGAGTATCCTAAAGCTCTTTTTTATCCACCCTCATCTAAGTCTTGAGAGAAAAGATACCCATATTTTGTCTGTGTTCAGTTTGGCCTCTTGACTAAGAACTTCTATCACACAGGATGACCCTCAGCAACTTGTGAATCACGGGTCATGACTCCCAATCCTAGCCATGAGGTCATCTATGATGGTGTATGACAAGGAGCAAACCTGGGAAGAACATTCCACTGAAAGGCACAATGAGAGATTGGGAGGCAAGGAACGAGCTGCTAAAGTGCCCTGCTTCTTGGGAAGGAGTCAAGACATAACAATCGAATTGAGCAATTTTGTGGAAGAATGTATCCACAGGGTTGTGCATCCGAAAATGGCCTCCAGGTCTTGGAGGTCTCCAGTCCAAAGACAATAGCCCTGCCAGGGCCATCATCATCTCCATGTCAAGTTCCACAATTGTCACCTAGACTGGGCCTCAGTATAATCCTATTGAGCATGATTTTTAAGTCATCACCTCTCTTCAGACAATATAAAGTTCTCATCGTTTACCCAATCCAGGAATCCACCTTCCCAGAATCCATTTCAAGGACACCCACATGCTCACTAAAGGTCAACACAGGGGAACAGAGTTCTGGAGACCATTTGATTTCAGCAGACTTTAAACCAGGCATCTGACTGACACTCTTTGTCCCAAGGGCAGTAACTTATTTCCAAGACTTTATTTGAGGCTAGGATCTGTGTAAAAAGGAAGAAGACAGGGTGTGTCAACAAGCAATCTGTCACTTTCTTAGAGACGCTGCCTCACATGTGTTTCTTCTACAAAATGATGGAATGAGAGACCTGATCACATGGGATATGTCCTGCAGATTGAAGAATGATAGCTCCCTGGGTCAGGAGCCAAATATAGACAAGGTACTGGGTGATAAAGATTAGATGTGTGTCCCTTGGATCTCAGGTTGTAAACTGGTCTCCAGTGTCAAAAATTGGATTTCGTGGCCATGTATTAATAGTGAATCCTATCTACTGGTTTCAATGAGTGAGATCTCACATCTTGAGTTCTTCAGAGAAGTGGCAGTTTCAAAAGAGCATGACACATCTTTTTATGACGTTTGTGCCCTATCTTACCATGGGACTGGCAGACTTTCTTTGCTTTGTGACATAATTCCAATCTCCCTCAGTCCTCAGAAGATGCCTAGCAAAGAACTTGACCATTGAAAACCTGAACTATAGAAACTTTTACTATGTTTCAATGATCCTGAATTCTCCTGTTTCTGTAGAGCTGGAAAAAACCCACTACTCCCTACATTTGGACAAGGCTCCTGGGTCTCATCTAACAGCAGCTCACAAGCATCTTAAAGCTCTTTTTTGTCCAGGCTTACTTAGGTCTTGAGAGAAAAACTGCAAATATTGGTCAGGATTCAGCGTGCCTCTTTGATCAAGAACTCTTGTTTGTTAGATGACATTCAGAAACTTGTAAATCATCGATCATGACAACAAATCCCAGTCATGCACTCACCTATGATGATACATGCCATGGAGCACACCTGGGCAGAACATTCCACTGAAAGTCACAAAGAGAGATTGGCAGCTAAGGAAAAGGCTGTCAAACTGCCCTTCTTCTTGGGAATGGGTCAAGACATAACGATCAAATTGGGCAATTTCGTGGAGGAGTGCATCCACAGGTTTGGCATCCAGGGCTTAAAATTCTCCAGCTCAAAGACAATAGCTCTGCCAAGGCCATCATTATCCTCTCGTCCATTTCCACAAGAGTCACATAGGTTGGGCCTTATCGTAGTCCTATTGAGCAGCCCTTTGCTTAGCATCCAATCTCTCTGTGTCTTTCAGTGAAATGTTGTGCCCAGGTTGGTTCCATGGCACACATCACCATAGGTGAGTGCATGGCTAGGATTGGCTGTCATGACCCATGATTCAAAAGTCATTGAGAGTCATTTAACAAACAAGTGTTCTTGGTCATGGAGGCAAGCTGAATCTGACAAGTAAGTGTATTTTTTCTCCCAATACCTGGGTGAGGCTGGACACAAAACAGCTTTGAGATGCTCTTGGTCTCCTATTAGACAAGCCCCAAATGCCTTGTCCAAATGCAGGGAATAGTGGGTTTTCACCTGCTCTACAAAAGCAAGAGAATCAGGCTCATTGAAATATAATAATGGTTTCTATGTCTCAAGTTCTAAATGGCCATGGCCTCTGCTGGGCATCTTCTGAGGACTAGGGGAATTTGGAATGGTGGCACAAAACAGTCTGCTAGACCCGTTGTGAGAGGGGGCACAAAAGTCAGAAAAAGACATGCCATGCTCTTTTGAAACCACCATCTCTCTTGAGAACTCAAGATGTGAGAACACACTCATTAAAACTAGCAGGCAGGATTCCCCCATTATCAACATTGGCCACAAAACCCAATTTTTGACACTGGAGACCAATTTCCAATCTGAGATCTGAGGGGTCACACATTCAAGCTGTATCATTCAGCACCCTGTCTGTACTTGACTCCTGGCCCTGGGGTATCATCAGTCTTCAGCCTTTAGGGCAGGTCCCACATGACCATATATCTCATTCCAACCTATTGTGGAGGAAACTCTTCTGTGAGGCAGCATCCCTATGGAAGTCTCTTGGTAAGAGGGCAAAAACATAAGTTTAAAATTAAAAAATTATGTGGAGGAGTGCATCCATGGGGTTGTGATCTCCAAGAAGGTCCCTATGGCTTGGAGTTCTCCAGCCCCAAACACAATAGTCCTGCTGGGGCCATCATCATCCTCACATTAGTTTCCACAATTGTCAAAACACCTGGGCCTCAGCATAATCAAGAGCATGATTTTTAAGTCATCACCTCTCTTCTAGGCAATATAAAGTTCTCATCATTTACCCAATGTAGTGATCTGCCATCCCCACATCCATTTCAAGAATGCCCTTATGCTCACTACAGGTCAACAAGGACCAGAGTTATTGAGAGTATTTATTTTCAGAGGATTACAGACCAGGAACCTCGCTGAAACCCTTTGCCCTTGGACAGCAGCTTATTCCCAAGACTTTTTCTGAGTCCAGGATCTGGTAGAAAAGGAGAAAAAAGTGTGTGTCACCAAGAAAACTGGAAATTCCTCATGCATGCTGTCTCACACATGCTCTTCCTCCACAAAATGATGGGATGAGTTACCTGTTCACATGGGACCTGTTGTTCAACTGAAAAGGCATGGTCCTCCAGGGCCAGGAGACACAGAACATAGCACAGATATCGTACTGGGTGATATAGTATGGATATGTGTCCTCTCCTATTTCATTTTGGAACTTGGTCCCCAGTGCAAAAATTGGGCTCTTGACCAATGTTGGGAATGGAGAAATTCTGTATACTGCTTGTAATGAGTGAGTTCTCACTTCCTGAGTTCTCAAGAGAGGTGCTGATTTCCAAAGAGAAAGGCATATGTTTTTCTGAGCTTTGTCTCTCTCAATATGGCTCTGGCAGACTCTCCTTTCTTTGTGTCACCATTCCACACTCCCAGAGACCTCAGATATGGCCAGCTGAAGCCATGGCCATGCACAGCTTGTGCCAAACAAACCTTTAGTATGTTTCAATGAGCCAGGCTCTCTTGTTTCTGTAGAGCTTGACTAAACCCACTTCTCCCTGCATTTGGACAAGACACTTTGGGCTCATTTAACAACAGGCTGAGAGGATCCCAAAGTTCTTTTTTATCCAGCCCCACCCAGGTCTTGGGAGAAAAGGTGCTCATATTTTGTCTGGGCTCACTTTGCTCCTTGAGTAAGAACTTCTATCCCTTAGGATGACCCTCCATGACTTGTAAATCACAGGTCATAACTCCTAATCCCAGTCATGCACTCACCTATGATGCGTGCCATGGAGCCAACCTGGGTAGAACATTACACTGAAAAACACAAAGAGAGATTGGGAGGTAAGGAAGGGGCTGTTAAAGTGCCCAGCTTCCTGGGAAGTATCAAGACATAATAAATTGGGCAATTTTGTGGAGCAGTGCATCCACAGGGTTGGGCAACCCAAATGGCCTTCAGGGCTTAGTGTTCTCCAGCCTAAAGACAATAGCTCTGTCAATTGTGACAATCCCCACATCAGTTTCCATAATTGTCAAATAGCCTGGGCCTCAGAGTAATCCTATTGAGCATGATTTTTAAGTCCTCACCTCTCTTCAGACAATATAAAGTTCTCATCATTGACCCAAGCCCGGGATCTACCTTCCTTGCATTTATTTCAAGGACGCCCATATGCTCACCATAAGTCAACACAGGGGACCAGAGTTATAGAGAGTATTTGACTTTCAGTGGACTTGAGGCCAGGCACCTGAAATCCTTTATCCCCGGGGGCAACAGCATATTCCCAAGATCTTCTCTGAGGCCAGGATGCTTGAAAAGGAAATAGGGCATGTCAACAAACAATCTGGCACTTCCATAGGGATGCTGACTAACACAAGCATTTCTTACACAAAGCAATGGGATGAATAATTTGTCACAGGGGACTTGCCCCGTAGGCTGAAGACTGATGTTCCCCTAGGTTCAGGAACCTAGTACAGGCAGGGTACTGGGTGATACAGCTTGCATGTTTGTGCCCTCAGATCTCAGGTTGGAAAGTCATCTCCAGTGTCAAAAATTGGATTTCATGGCCAATGTTAGCAATGGGGGAATCCTGCCTGCTGGTTTTAATGAGTGTGTTCTCACATTTTGAGTTCTTAAGAGAGATGGTGGTTTCAAAAGAGCATAGCATGTCTTTTTCTGACTTTTGTACCCCCTCTCACCATAGGTTCGCTGGACCCTCTTTTCTTTGTGCCATCATTTCAAGCCCCCTGAGTCCTCAGAACATGCTCAGCGGAGGCCATGACCATTCACAACTTGAGCTACAGAAACCATTATTATGTTTCAATGAGCCGGATTCTCATGTTTTTGTAGAGCAGGTGAAAACCACTACTCCCTACATTTGAACAAAGCACTTGGAACTTGTCTCACAGCAGGCCAAGGACATCTCAAAACTGTCTTATATAGAGCCACACCCAGGTATTGAGAGAAAAACTACACATATTGGTTGGGCTTCAGCTTGTCTCAACGACAAGGACTCCTATTTGTTAAATGACTCCAGTTACTTTTGAATCATGGGACATGGCAACCAATCTCAACCATCAACTCACCTATGATGATGCATGCCATGGAGCCAACCTGGGCAGGACATTCCACTGAAAGACACAAAGAGAGATGGGTGCTAAGCAAGGGGCTGCTAAGTTCCCTACAACAGGAAAAAGCGTCAAGACTGAAATATAAAATTGGGCAGTATCGTGGAGGGGCACATCCACAGGGTTGTGCAACCCAAGAAGGCCTATGGGGTTTGGAGTTCTCCAGCCCAAAACACCATAGCCCTGTCAGGGCCATCATCATCCCTTCGTCAGTTTCCACAATTGTCAAATAACCTGGACCTCAGTGAAATCCTATTAAGCATGATTTTTAAGTCGTCACCTCTCTTCTAGACAATATAAAGTTCTTATTACTGTTACAATGAGCGGTCCTCCATCCCCATATCCATTTCAAGGACACAAATATGCTCACCATAGGTCAGCAAAGTCCAGAGTTCTAAAGAGTATTTGATTTTCAGAGCATTCCAGACCAGGCACACAAGGTTTTTCCTGGGGACAGCAGCTTATTCCCAAAACTGTCTCTGAGGATAGGATCTGGGAGGAAAGGAGAAAAAGGTACGTCAACAAGAAAACTGGCACTTCCACAAGGATGCTGCCTCACATAAACCTTTACAAAATGATGGTATGAGTGAGTTACCTGTTCACATGTGACCTGTCCTTCAGGCTGGAGATGAATGGTCCCCCAGGGAAAGGGGCCAGACAACATAGCACAGACATGGCGATATACTTTGGATGTGTGTCCTCTCATATCCCAGTTTGAAAGTTCATCCCCAGTGTAAAAATTGGGTTTCTTGGCCAATCCTGGGAATGGGAAATCCTGCATACTGCTTGTGATGAGTGAGTTTTCAAGAGAGATACTGGCTTCAAAAGAGCATGGCACATCTTTTTCTGACTTTTGTGTCACCTCTCAACATGGCTCCAACAGACTCTCTTTTCTTTGTGTCACTATTACTCACTCCCTGAGACTTCAGAAGTTGCCCAGCTGAAGCTATGGCCATGCACAGCTTGAGTCAAAGAAACATTTAGTATGTTTCAATGAGCCAGGCTCTCCTGTTTCTGTAGAGCTCGACAAAACCCACTTCTTCCTGTGTTTGGAGAAACACTTGGGGTTCATCTAACAGCAGTCTGAGAGCATACCAAAGCACTTTTTTTTATCCTGCATCGTCCAGTTCTTGAGAGAAAAATTACTCATATTTTGTCTGGGCTCAGCTTGGCTCCATGAGTAAGAACTCCTTTCCCTCAGGGTGACCCTAAGCGACTTGTGAATTATGGGACATGACTCCTAATCCCAGCCATGCACTCACCTATGATGGTGCATGCCATGGAGCCAACCTGGGCAGAACATTCCACTGAAAGACACAAAGAGAGATTGGGAGGTAAGGGGCTGCTACAGTGCCCTGTTTCCTGGGAAGAATCAAGATGTAATAATCAAATTGGGCAGTTTTGTGGAGGAGTGCATCCACAGGGTTGGGCACCTCAAATGGCCTTCAGAGCTTAGAGTTCTACAGACCAAAGACAATAGCTCTGCCAGAGACATCATCATCCACATGTTGGTTTTCACAATTGTCACCTAGGGTGGATCTCAGCATAATCCTATCAAGCATGATTTTTAAGTCATCACCTGTCTTCAGATAACATAAAATTCTCAATCATTGACTCTAGCCAGGGATCCACCTTCTCCTTTTCCATCTCAAGGACACCCATATGCTCACCACAGGTCAACACAGGGAGCTAGAGTTTTGGAGAGTATTTGACTTTCAACGGATTTTAGGCCTGGCACCTGCCTGAAACCCTTTGTCTCAGAGGCAGCAGCTTATATCCAAGATCTTATCTGAGGCCAGGATCTGCTTGAAAATGAAGAAGACAGGCAAAAAAAAAAAAAAATCACCCTGGAGCTTCCATAAGGTTATTGCCTCACATAAGCATTTTTTAAAAAATCGATGGGATGCGATACCTGGTCACATGGGACATGTCCTGTAGACTGAAGACTAATGACCCCATAGGTTCAGAAACCAAGTACAGACAGGGTACTGGGTGATACAGCTTGGATGTGTGTCTCCTCAGATCTCAGGTTGGAAAATGGCCTCCAGTGTCAAAAATTGGATTTCATGGCCAGTGTTGTTAAAGGGGAATCCTACATGCTGGTTTTAAAGAGTGTGTTCTCACATCTTGAGTTCTGAAGAGAGATGGTGATTTCAAAAGAGCCTGACATATCTTTTTCTGACCTTTGTCCTTTCTCACCATGGAAACAGCATACTCTCTTTGCATTGTGCCACCATTCTAGCTCCCTGAGTCCTCAGATTATGCCCAGCAGAGGACTTGGTTATTCAAAACTTGAGTCATAGGAACCTTTAAAATGTTTCAATGAACCCAATTCTCTTGTTTCTGTAGAGCAGGACAATACCCACTCCTCCCTGCATTTGGACAAAGCACTTGGGGCTCATTTAACATCAGGCCATGATAATATCAAAGCTCTTTTTATCCAGGATCGCCCAGGTCTTGAGAGTAAAACTGCACATATTGGTTGGGTTTCAGCTTACCTCCATGGCCAAGAACTCTTGTTGGTTAGATGACCCTCAGAGACTTGTAAATCATGGGTCATGACAACCAATTTGAGCTACACACTCACCTATGATGGTGCATGCCTTGGAATTCCACTGAAAGACACAAAGAGAGATTGGCAGCTAAGGAAAAGGCTGCTAAAGTGCCCTTCTTGGGAAGGGGTCATGACATAGCAATCAAATTGGGCAATTTCGTGGAGAAGTGTATCCGCAGGTTTGGGCACCCCAAGATGGCCTCTGGGGCTTAGAGTTCTCTAGTCCAAAGACAATAGCCCTGCCAGGGTCATCATCATCCTTACTTCTATTTCCACAATTGTTACCTAGGGCCTCAGCATAATACTATTGAGCATGATTTTTAAGCCATCACTTCTCTTTAGACAATATAAAGTTCTCATCATTGACTCAAGCCAGGGATCCACCTTCCCTGAATCCATTTCAAGGATGTCCATATGCTCACCACAAATCAATACAGGGGAATAGACTTCTGGAGAGTATTTGACTTCCAACAAACTTGAAGCCATGCACCTGACTGAAACCCTTTATTCTGGGGGCAGCAGGTTATTTCCAAGACCCTCTCTGAGGCCAGGATCTGTTAAAAAAGGAAGAAGACAGGGTGTGTCAACAAGCAATCTGACACTTCCACAGGGATGTTGCCATACACAAGCATTTCTTTCACAAAATGATGTGGTACAATACATGGTCACATGAGTCCTGTCCTGTAGACTGAAGACTGATGGTCCCCAGGGTCAGGAGCCAAGTATAGACAGGCTACTGAGTGATATAGCTTGAATATGTATCCCCCCTCAGAGCTCAGGTTGGAAAGTGACCTCCAGTGTGAAAAACTGGGTTGTTAATGGGGCATCCTGACTGCTGGTTATAAAGAGCAAGAGCTCACATTTTGAGTTTTCTAGAGACAGTGTGGTTTCAAAAGAGCATGGCATATCTTTTTTTGACTTTTGTTCCCCTTCTCACCATGGAACCGGAGGACTCTTTTTGCATTGTGCCACCGTTCCAGCTCCCTGAGTCCTCAGAAGACACCCAGCAGAGGACTTGGCCATTCAAGACTTGAGTCATATAAATCTTTATTATGTTTCAATGTTCCTGATTCTCTTGTTTCTATAGAGCAGGACAAAACCCGTTCCTCCCTGCATTTGGACAAGGCACTTGGTACTCAACTAACGTCAGGCTGTGAGTATCTCAAAGTTCTTTTTATACAGTCTCACCCAGGTTTTGAGAGAAAAATTGCGCATATTAGTCAGTATTCAGCTTGCCTCCATGAACAAAAATTCCTGTTTGTTAGATGACCTTCAGGGCCTTGTTAATCATGGGTCATAGTAACCAATTTCAACCATGCTCTCACCTATGGTGGTGCTGAGAGGACAGTAATAGAGTATACCATACACTTAGGTTAAGAGCATGCTATTAAGAGACCCAAGAAACCCATCCGTGTTGTTTCTGCTTTCCTACCCATTTTCAGAAAGGCCTTAAAAGAAAACCTATGTGGACCCATGGATCTTATCGTTAGGTTCCTCTGAGAGGGGCGAATGAGACACCCAAGAAACTTAAAAAGCCATACTTGCTGTAAAAGTAGTGTTTAGTTCACTATATTTTATATATCCCTACCTCATGTTTACTATATATTTTGTGTATTCCTACCTCATGTTCATTGTACTTTATGAAATCTTAGTACTTTAAATCCTA